GTGGGTGGTGAGTGGGCTCTGAATTTCTTCGTAGTCCGCATCCCAACCGTCCTGGCCGCAGTCCGGCCAGGCCTCTCCTGATAACGAGAGGTACTTTAGCGAACTCAAGATGTCGCCAAAAGGTGAGTGTTGAAAGATGTCCGCCGCGGTGAACTCCATGATCGGCGCCCACTCGAATTCGACTGGAGGGGGCGCGGGAGGTCCGGAGTCCGGCAAGGAGTCCGGCACCTCGAAGTCACGAGCTTCATGGGGGACAAGATCGGTGTTTGGCTCTATCGCCGTAGAGGTTGCAGCCCCCGAGGTGGTGTCTAGCCATCCATCCTTGGTCTGCGCAGCCGGCTCCGAGTCGAAGATCGGAGCGGGTTCGAGTGCGGCCTCCAAGGTACTGTCCGGCTGCAGAGCTAAATCATGCCCATCGTGACAGTACGGCACGCTCGGCCGTGGCTCGAATCCGTCGAGGATCAAGTCCCCACGGATGTCAGCCGTGAAGTTCAAACTTTCAAATCTGACCTGACGGCCAGGGGCGTAGCCTTCGATCTGCTCTAGCTGGCCAAGCGAATTGGCCCGCAGTGCGAAGCCGCTGAATACGAAGATCTATCCGGGGAGGAAGGTCTCACCCTGGACTGCATCGTTGTTGATGATCGAAGAAGCCATCGAGCCTATCGGTGACGACACAGAGGAACTCTCAATGAAAGCACCAATGTCGGTGTCAAAACCGGCGGATCTCGGGTAGGGGGTCCCAAACTGTGCATCTAGGCGGATGGTAACAGGAGACGAGGGACACGATGTTTTTACCCAGGTTCGGGCCCTCTTGATGGAGGTAAAACCCTACGTCCTGCTTGATTAATATTGATGATGTGGGTTACAAGAGTAGATCTACCACGAGATCAAGGAGGCTAAACCCTAGAAGCTAGCCTATGGTATGATTGTTGTTCGTCCTATGGACTAAAGCCATCCGGTTTATATAGACACTGGAGAGGGCTAGGGTTACATAGAGTCGGTTACAAAGGTAGGAGATCTACATATCCGTATCGCCAAGCTTGCCTTCCATGCCAAGGAAAGTCCCATCCGGACACGGGACGAAGACTTCAATCTTGTATCTTCATAGTCTTGATAGTTCGGCTATCCGGACACCCCCTAGTCCAGAACTCCCTCAGGAGGCCCCCGAAAAATCCCAGGACCTCGCATGTGTCATGAAATGGACTTTAGTGGGCATAATAAAAATTTCAGGCCAACGGAGGTATGAGCCTCATGATCCCTTCACAACCCAACGATGTTTCGTCTCAAAATATAGGTCCTCCCTGGAAGAAAGACTCATTTCCACACAACCTCCATGAAGGGTTCTGTGAAATGCCGTCAGATTCTTACCATAACCTCTAGGCTTTGTGTGATGACATCACATCAAGTCCTGTGAATTTTTGGTTGCTCGTGAATTTCCGTGGATTTAAACAATAGAAACCGCATATCTGTCGCATATCAGTGGCTCCTGGTGTTGGCCCCTCGCTCTTAGTTGGGTGCACTGGGCCTGGTCATGGACCAAAGAACACGAGTTAGGACTTCTAGGCCGTTTCCTGGCATGTTTTTATGTGGTCATAGCTCAAATTTTGAATTTCCAGCATTAAGCCCTAGAAATGTAGTAAATGCCCAGAATATGGTAGGAGGCCCCCGATCGCCATATCCCTCCTCTCATCTCTCACATTCCTTGATGAATGTGATATTATCCTTCCATGGAGGTTCTTCTCATCGTCTAAATGTGGCATGGAGGAGACACCTCTCGCTGCGTCCTGACACCACACTCGGGAGAAATCTTCCTTTGAATATCGAGGTTTTGGTAGCCCATGCTCATGAGCCAACTTGCCTAAACTGTGGTAGAACATAGTTGTTTGCTCCTGCGCCTTGTTTGTCACAATCTCAAACTCGGTCCAGCTGGCGAACTACATTTTGAGAGAGAAAGAGAGTAAAACATGCATGACATATGAAGTACACTAGATCAAACAAGAAAGTGTACAAGGAGAAATTAATTAGTATATATTGCTTTATAACTATCTTCATTAGTTAGGTAACAATCACAAGCATTTTAATTACAAGCATGTGTGTTTGCCTAACTATAGATAGCATTTCACATATTTCCACACATATCCACATTTTAACAAAAATATCAATCTTTTAAAAAATTCATTTTCTTTCTCTTTACTGTTATGTTTTTCAAACATTGATAATTAAACTCTACTACACACCAAATATATGTTTCCATGTCATCCAACCCATATTAACCTACCAAAATAGCTAGTAACTAATAATACTATAACGGTTACTAAACAAATTAATATGATACTTCATATTTTTAGCAAAAGAAAGAAAACTGAAAAATGGTAGAGATTTTCCATACCAAATTTCCACATCGATTTCGATATCATATTTTCACACACATGCACACATGCGCACACCCACACCCACGCACGCGTGCGCAAAGATGGTGCAGTGCGGTGGCATCTAGGTTATACAAGCCAGCCGCTCGCGCACGCGAGTTTGTAATTTATATGCGCACGCGAGTTTTTAAAAATCAGTTTGGTTTCATGCCTGGGAGGTCGACCATGGAAGCCATTTTCTTGGTACGAAAACTTATGAAGAGATATTGGGAGCAAAAGAAGGACTTGCATATGGTGTTCATTGACTTGGAGAAGGCCTATGATAAGATACCGCGGAATGTCATGTGGTGGGCCTTGGAGAAACACAAAGTTCCAGCAAAGTACATTACCCTCAACAAGGACATGTACGATAATGTTGTGACAAGTGTTCGAACAAGTGATGTCGACACCGATGACTTCCCGATTAAGATAGGACTACATCAGGGGTCAGCTTTGAGCCCTTATCTTTTTGCATTGGTGATGGATGAGGTCACAGGGGCTATACAAGGAGATATCCCATGGTGTATGCTCTTTGCGAATGATGTGGTGCTAGTTGATGATAGTCGGACGGGGATAAATGGGAAGTTAGAATTATGGAGACAAACCTTGGAATCGAAAGGGTTTAGGCTTAGTAGAACTAAAACTGAGTACATGATGTGCGGTTTCAGTACTACTAGGTGTGAGGAGGGGGAGGTTAGCCTTGATGGCCAGGTGGTACCTCGGAAGGACACCTTTCGGTATTTGGGGTCAATGTTGCAGGAGGATGGGGGTATTGATGAAGATGTGAACCATCGAATCAAAGTCGGATGGATGAAGTGGCGCCAAGCTTCTGGCATTCTCTGTGACAAGAGAGTGCCACAAAAGCTAAAAGGCAAGTTCTACAGGACGGCGGTTCGACCCGCAATGTTGTATGGCGCGGAGTGTTGGCCGACTAAAAGGCGACATGTTCAACAGTTAGGTGTGGCGGAGATGCGTATGTTGATATGGATGTGTGGCCACACGAGGAAGGATCGAGTCCGGAATGATGATATACGAGATAGAGTTGGGGTAGCACCAATTGAGGAGAAGCTTGTCCAACATCGTCTGAGATGGTTTGGGCATATTCAGCGCAAGCCTCCAGAAGCTCCAGTGCATAGCGGACGGCTAAAGCGTGCGGAGAATGTCAAGAGAGGGCGGGGTCGACTGAATTTGACATGGGAGGAGTCCGTTAAGAGAGACCTGAAGGATTGGAGTATCGACAAAGGGTTAGCTATGGACAGGGGTGCGTGGAAGCTTGCTATCAATGTGCCAGAGCCATGAGTTGGTTGCGAGATCTTATGGGTTTCACCTCTAGCCTCCCCAGCTTGTTTGGGACTAAAGGCTTTGTTGTTGTTGTTGTTGTTGAGACGAAGGGTCAAGGTTTGATGAGTATCTACCATCCAGATCTCAGCAAAACTGTCCACCCAATGAAAAGAAAAATAAATAATCTTTTGACGATAACTATGCCGAGTCTTTGAACGCAGGAGCTCGGCAAATGTGGCCTGCCGGGACAGAACACATAGCAGTTGTCGTTGTCGCCATGTGACACAAACTTTGCCAAGTTCATTCGTTCAGTCCCTCCGCATAATTCGTAAGAGTCGAGTTTATTATCTTTGATGAGTTACCTTTACCTGGTTCAGCAACGGCATGCCTCGGCCGAGCTAGACACACCGCAAAGAGCGGTCGTTGTTTTTGTCGAGCTCCCGGAGTTGACGGTAAACATGTTACAGAGCATAGACTTCACGACACCCCTTATCTAGCCACTCATTTTTGCATCGCGATTCGTGCAATTACTTTTGTGTTTTTTCTTTCTCCTAAATAGAACAACATATGAACTTCAAACTTTACAGTAGAATAAAACATTCTAACTAGAATGTGGGAAAAAAATTCAGATTTTTTCGTGCAACACAAATACTAAAAATACTTTTTTTAATTTGAAAAAAATCTCATTTTGTATATTTTTGTTGGACCCAAAAATCTGAATGTTTTTTCCCACATTCTAGTTAGGATGTTTTAGTGTCTTGCAAAGTTTTTTTCCATACTTTTTTGTTGGATACTCCTGCGTGACAACTGCCGCGCCATACCCACGTGCCATGACAACATGTTCGCTCTCTCGCCCACGGAACTACAAGCGGCCATGCAGGCTGACGTGGAAGCCGGGCTGGTGCCACTTTTCTTGTGCGCGACGCTGGGGACGACCCAGACGACCGCCGTTGACCCCATTGGCAAGCTATGCGCTGTCACGACACCACACGGCGTGTGGGTGCACATGGACGCCGCCTACGACGGCTCCACGCTGGTCTGCCCGGAGTTCACCCACGTGATCGATGGCGTGGAGGACGTCGACTCGTTTAGCATGAACGCCCACAAGTGGCTCCTCACCAACAATGATTGCTGCGCCATGTGGGTGAAGAAGCCGAGCGCCATGGTGGCGGCGCTCGGTCCGGAGCAGGATTTGATCCTCAAGGACGCGGCATCGGAGGGGCACAACGTGGTCGACTACATGGACTGGACCATGATGCTGACCCGCCGGTTCCGCGCGCTTAAGATGTGGCTCGTGCTCCGCTGCTACGGCATCAAAGGCCTGCGTGACCACATCCGCAATCACGTCCGCATGGCCGAGGCGTTCGAGAAGATGGTCAAGGCCGACGAAAGGTTCGAGGTGGTGACAGACCGGAAGTTTGCGCTGGTGTGCTTCTGGCTCCGGTCACAGGACAAATTCGGCGGCGCCGACAAGCAGGCGGCCAACCGGCTCAACCGTCGTGTTCCTGAGGAGGTGAACGCTGCCACCTCGGGCCCATACATGAGCTCTGCAAACGTAAGTGCCATGTTCATACTAAGGCTGGTCATAGTGGGGAGTAACTTAGACTAGTAACATGCATATGTTACTACCTCTATAGTGCATAATATTATAGATTACTATCATATGTGGTCTCATTTATTGCCGTGCATAACACATAGTAGCATCACATTTATTATGTTACAGTATCTACCTATGTTACTATGTCCATCTCTTTCTTCTTTAATTGCCTGCCACATAAGCAAGTTTGCGAGTCCCAAGTGCATAATACTACTTATATTACCCCCACTATGGCCAGCCTAAGGTGTGCCATTGGAAGCACACTCACAGAGGACCACCACGTGAGCGATTCATGCAAGGTTGTGCAGAATCAGGCCATCATAATCCTTCGTAAATAAGGTGGAGACTACTATCTCGAGCGCGCATACAACTTGGCTAAGTAAGGTAAATAAACATGCAGCTCTAAGTATAATTAAACTACGTACTTGTGTATGAACTTGATTGCAAGGTCCTGCGGTCCCGAATAAGTTGGTGGCGCGACTCACGAAAATTAATACTCTCTCCATAAACTAATATAAGAGCGTTTAAAACAAGGGGGAAATCGGGAACACTATTCCTCGACAATTCACCACTTACCCTATATCCTAAGATGTAAAGAAATATACAAAAAAATGCAAGGACACAAAAAAGAAGGAGAATTAGAGCCAAAGTGGCCATACCCTGTTTCCCTCCCTTTCCCATCTTAAAATAACACGTTTGAAATAGGTGATCCATGTCAATCCCTTTCTAAAATATCAATCATATGGATTTTCCATGATACAATACTAGACTAACCTAATATTAGTAATGTTAATTCCACCTAGACATAATTATGGAATCTAATTTAGAATGTATACTTCTTGTGAGGAAAAACTATTATGTCCATGTAGTAAAACAAACCAAAGAGATCAAGGATTAGTTGCCACTCCAATAAAAAAATTGGAACATGAAAAACACATCCAAAAGGGATCACACACAGACAGGTGAGGTACGTCTTTTATGAAAACATCACCTAAACAAATATTGCACTATATATTTACTATTGGAATACTAATAGAAAGTGATCTAATCTTGGCATTAAAACTTTCACATACAATCTAACATCTAGTACATGAAGTTGCCGTAGTCCAGCCATTAAAATGTACGTAGAACACTTAAACATTTGCCATGGTCTAGGCCTTAAAAGCACTAGATAATATTTCTGGGGCTAGTATGACAAATTAAGCTCGGTAGAAAACAATGTACAAATATGTATTTTGGGGAGAAGGGGATAAGGTGGTAAAAACTATATACACACACATCTTAGGTGTG